TGAGATACTGGAGTGATGACAGGTGAGATACTGGAGTGATGATAGGTGAGATACTGGAGTGATGACAGGTGAGATGAGTGATGACATATGAGATAATGGAGTGATGACAGGTGAGATACTGGAGTGATGACAGGTGAGATACTGGAGTGATGACAGGTGGGAGATAGAGATACTGGAGTGATGACAGGTGAGATACTGGAGTGATGACAGGTGAGATACTGGAGTGATGACAGGTGAGATACTGGAGTGATGACAGGTGGGATGATGGCAGTGATGACAGGTGAGATACTGGAGTGATGACAGGTGAGATACTGGAGTGATGACAGGTGAGATACTGGAGTGATGACTGAGAGAGTGATGATGACAGGTGAGATACTGGAGTGATGACAGGTGAGATACTGGAGTGATGACAGGTGAGATACTGGAGTGATGATAGGTGAGATGATGACAGTGATGACAGGTGAGATACTGGCAGTGATGACAGGTGAGATACTGGAGTGATGACAGGTGATACTGGAGATACTGGAGTGATGACAGGTGAGATACTGGAGTGATGACAGGTGTGAGGTGATGGCAGTGATGACAGGTGAGATACTGGAGTGATGACAGGTGTGATGGCAGTGATGACAGGTGAGATACTGTATTAATGACATGAGAATATGAGTGTTGCCAGGTGTGTCAGCTGGTATCGTGAAGTGAGATGACAGGTGGAACATAAAAAGAATGAAGGGTGGCTTGAACACTTAGACACTTCTGATAGTGTTTTGTTAGAGTGAAGAGATGATGTAAATACAAGACAGGTAAGGGGTGAGTGGACACCTCATGGTGACGGAGCATCTCACCTGGGAGGTACAACATGCTTGAGTTCAGTGAGTGCATTCAACAAACACCCACTGTTTGCACAGGGTTCTATTCATTTAAATGCTATGAAGGCACTCAAGGTTTGCTAGGTTGTGTCAAGTGGATCACATACGTATGGCTATCTGAGTTGTTGTGGAGAAAGCTGGATCTGAAATAATTGTAACAATTTTGTTCAGTGGGGCATAAACGTGATAAATATATGATATAGGGTAATGTTACCCTGGAGCATTACATCCAGGTGAGGATGGCACATAATGGCCACATGGTACAGGTAAGTTTGTTAGCTTTTGGGGTGTGAATAGACTAACGCTTAGTCTTTGAATATATGTAATTCTGATTGTAGCAAATAAACCCATTTATATTGAAAAGGAGCCCCAGGGAGACCAGAGAACCCGGGGAAATCTAGACTTTCTTCATTTAGGGCTATAGCATTTCAGGGAAGGCTAGGCTGTAGGGAAAATAATGTGGTTCAGAGACTGAGACAGGCTAGGGTGTGAATTGATAGGTTTAATGTGTACAGGATAAGATGTATAGTAGACTTTGGTGTTCACCCCTGTGGAGATTTGGTCTTCAGCAACCCATGTATGTCATAAGAGGCAAATAACAGGATTAGATGTTGAGGCTCGTTGGCTCTTGAAGCTACAGGTTTAAAGCCTCAACTTTCAGGCCAAAGATGAGTGTGATGCAGACAGTATTCAGGTGTGCATGGGTTGAATCCTTGACTGACAATATTCAGGCATGTATTAGTTGAATATTTGACAATATGCAGGTGTGCATGGGTTGAATCCTTGACACAGACAATATTCAGGTGTGCATGGGTTGAATCCTTGACACAGACAATATTCAGGTGTGCATGAGTTGAATCCTTGACACTGATAGTATTCTAGTGTGCATGAGTTGAATCCTTGACACAGACAATATACTGTGCATGGGTTGAATCCTTGACACAGACAATATTCAGAAGTGCATGAGTTCTATCCTTGACACAGACAGTATTCAGGTGTGCATGAGTTGAATCCTTGACACAGACAAGTATTCAGGTGTGCATGGGTTGAATCCTTGACACAGACAGTATTCAGGTGTGCATGGGTTGAATCCTTGACACAGACAATATTCAGGTGTGCATGGGTTGAATCCTTGACACAGACAGTATTCAGGTGTGCATGAGTTGAATCCTTACAGCACAGACAGTATTCAGGTGTGCATGAGTTGAATCAATATTCTTGACACAGACAGTATTCAGGTGTGCATGAGTTCTATCCTTGACACAGACAGTATTCAGGTGTGCATGAGTTCTATCCTTGACACAGACAGTATTCAGGTGTGCATGAGTTCTATCCTTGACACAGACAGTATTCAGGTGTGCATGAGTTCTATCCTTGACACAGATAGTATTCAGGTGTGCATGAGTTAGAATCCTTGACACAGACAGTATTCAGGTGTGCATTCGTTCTATCCTTGACACAGACAGTATTCAGGTGTGCATGAGTTGAATGAATCCTTGAGGTGTGCAGTTGAATCCTTGAACAGACAGTATTCAGGTGTGCATGAGTTCTATCCTTGACACAGACAGTATTCAGGTGTGCATGAGTTCTATCCTTGACACAGACAGTATTCAGGTGTGCATGAGTTCTATCCTTGACACAGACAGTATTCAGGTGTGCATGAGTTCTATCCTTGACACAGACAGTATTCAGGTGTGCATAGGTATTGAGTTCTACCCTTGACACAGACAGTATTCAGGTGTGCATGAGTTCTATCCTTGACACAGACAGTATTCAGGTGTGCATGAGTTGAATCCTTGACACAGACAGTATTCAGGTGTGCATGAGTTGAATCCTTGACACAGACAGTATTCAGGTGTGCATGAGTTGAATCCTTGACACAGACAGTATTCAGGTGTGCATGAGTTGAATCCTTGACACAGACAGTAATTCAGGTGTGCATGAGTTGAATCCTTGACACAGACAATATTCAGTATTCAGGTGTGCATGAGTTGAATCCTTGACACAGACAATATTCAGGTGTGCATGCAGGTTGAATCCTTGACACAGACAGTATTCAGGTGTGCATGAGTTGAATCCTTGACACAGACAAGTATTCAGGTGTGCATGAGTTGAATCCTTGACACAGACAGTATTCAGGTGTGCATGAGTTGAATCCTTGACAGACAATATTCAGGTGTGCATGAGTTCTATCCTTGACACAGACAGTATTCAGGTGTGCATGAGTTCTATCCTTGACACAGACAGCAGTAGAATCCTTGACACAGACAGTATTCAGGTGTGCATGAGGTTTGAATCCTTGACACAGACAGTATTTAGGTGTGCATGGGTAATCCTTGACACAGACAGTATTCAGGTGTGCATGAGTTCTATCCTTGACACAGACAGTATTCAGGTGTGCATGAGTTCTATCCTTGACACAGACAGTATTCAGGTGTGCATGAGAGTAGAATCCTTGACACAGACAGTATTCAGGTGTGCATAAGGTTCATTGACCTTGACACAGACACAGACATTCAGGTGTGCATGAGTTCTATGAATCCTTGACACAGACAGTATTCAGGTGTGCATGAGTTCTATCCTTGACACAGACAGTATTCAGGTGTGCATGAGTTCTATCCTTGACACAGATAGTAATCAGGTGTGCATGAGTTCTATCCTTGACACAGACAGTATTCAGGTGTGCATGAGTTCTATCCTTGACACAGACAGTATTCAGGTATTCAGGCATGATGAGTAGAATCCTTGACACAGACAGTATTCAGGTGTGCATGAGTTCTATCCTTGACACAGACAGTATTTAGGTGTGCATGAGTAGAATCCTTGACACAGATAGTAATCAGGTGTGCATGAGTTCTATCCTTGACACAGACAGTATTCAGGTGTGCATGAGTTCTATCCTTGACACAGACAGTATTCAGGTGTGCATGAGTTCTATCCTTGACACAGACAGTATTCAGGTGTGCATGAGTTCTATCCTTGACACAGACAGTATTCAGGTGTGCATGAGTTCTATCCTTGACACAGACAGTATTCAGGTGTGCATTCGTTCTATCCTTGACACAGACAGTATTTAGGTGTGCATGAGTAGAATCCTTGACACAGACAGTATTCAGGTGTGCATTCGTTCTATCCTTGACACAGACAGTATTTAGGTGTGCATGAGTAGAATCCTTGACACAGATAGTAATCAGGTGTGCATGAGTTCTATCCTTGACACAGACAGTATTCAGGTGTGCATGAGTTGAATCCTTGACACAGACAATATTCAGGTGTGCATAGGTTGAATCCTTGAGACAGACAGTATTCAGATGTGCATGGGTTGAATCCTTGACACAGACAATAATCAGGTGTGCATGGGTTGAATCCTTGACACTAACAGTTTTCAGGTGTGCATTAGTTGAATCCTTGACACAGACAATATACTGTGCATGGGTTGAATCCTTGACACAGACAATATTCAGAAGTGCATGAGTTGAATCCTTGACACAGACAGTATTCAGGTGTTCATATGTAAAATCCTTAAAAAGTTGAATCCTTGACACAGACAATTCTCAGGTGTGCATGAGTTGAATCCTTGACACAGACAATATTCAGGTGTTCATTGGTAGAATCCTTGACACAGACAATATTCAGGTGTGCATGAGTTGAATCCTTGACACAGACAGTATTCAGGTGTGCATTCGTTCTATCCTTGACACAGATGGTATTTAGGTGTGCATGAGTAGAATCCTTGACACAGACAATATTCAGGTGTGCATGAGTTGAATCCTTGACACAGACAGTATTCAGGTGTGCATGAGTTCTATCCTTGACACAGATGGTATTCAGGTGTGCATGAGTAGAATCCTTGACACAGACAGTATTCAGGTGTGCATGCGTTCTATCCTTGACACAGACAGTATTTAGGTGTGCATGAGTAGAATCCTTGACACAGATAGTATTCAGGTGTGCATGAGTTCTCTCCTTGACACAGACAGTATTCAGGTGTGCATGAGTTCTCTCCTTGACACAGACAATGAGCAGGTGAGCATGTCACAGACAATACCCAGGTGAGTTACAGACATGACATGTTGATGAAGGATTGACATTGGAATTCTGGAGAACTGTTATTGTATATAAACACTGTTTCAGGAAAAATGAAGAGAACGCAGCCCCTCTGGGAGGCTCCACGTGTTGAGAAGGAAACGAAGCTCAAGTTGTACAACAGCCTGACTCGACAAAAGGTAGGTGGTCCTCTTATCAACGTCACACAATGTTCCACAAAGGATTGGTCCTTCAATGGTGCTTCCGTGTTTGCCCTTGTCTAAGGCATTCATGGGACATAAAAGATACAAAGGTTTCATCTGGAAAGTTCATCTATTTACCTTCATTAAAAGTTGGTCGGTTGCTTTAGTGATGGGATTTTGTTTAATATGGTGGATTGAATGTGAATCTTTGGTCAAAAAGGCAATGTGACCATTCTAACTTTTTGTTCAGACTTTGATGCTGATTATATAGATTGCATATTATTGGTTATGATTGTTATGCTATATAGGTAAATTGTTTATCATAGGTTATTATTATCATTATTATACCACTCCTAGAATATTGTGAGTTATTGCATTCATCATACTCATAGGATATTCATATACCAGTGATGATCATCGTTTTAATCTACCTATAAACCAAGCAACTGCTACTCGGGTATCAGCGTGAAGATTTATGAACAGTGTGATGTGATACCAAAAGTTTGTGGATACCATTTATGGATGCAGTTCATGGATACCCTCAGTGTGGATACCTTATTTGGATACCAGTTACCTTGGATACCACAGGATAACAGCAGTGTCACCTTATGATGAGAGGTCATCTGGGTTTAAAACTATATAGAGGTATTGATCAAAGGTAGAACAAATATTTAAAGTTTGATGTCTCAGGAAGTCTGCATGACTCTGCAAATTTTCTGTGTTGTGTTTCTTCATCAATACGTGCCCAAACTGATGTTTCACTGTTGTTTCAGCTTTAAAACTTAATTTTATAGGTTCTGGTGATTTGAAGAAGAAGCTTTTATAAGCAAGCTTGGAAAAGGAATATATTGATGAAACTGTATCAACGAAAATAACTGTATACCGTTAAAGGAATTTAAAGAATACTTCATTCCTTCATATTTATATATCAACTGTAGTAATATGAAAGAATTTCGTGTTCTTCAGCTTGTTTTGATTGCCACGACAGATTAGCCACAGTCATATATAGGAATTGCGTATTCTTTACAAAATTTTCAGTGTGTATACTATCTCAATGTCCCCCTGACAATCACCACCCACCCCCCCTTGAAAATTCCTGGATCTGCCTATGCTGTTTCTTATTGTGTTTAGATTATCCATATGAAAAGAGGACCATGATTTGACTCATGTTCAGGACACAAGTCAACCAATCATTCAGTGGAGTTATCTCCCTTTCATCACTCTTCATCTGTCAAGTATCATACATTCCTTGTTTTGTTGTTTGAATACTGACAGATGTATCATGATGTGTAGTCGTTATCATCATCTTGAACAGTGTCCCTTTAATTTGAATTAATTATCCCCTTCGAAGATAATGGAAGATTATTCTGAAATATAGCAGCTGTATTAAATGTCATCCAACATTCTGGATCACATTCCTTCATTGTCATTTTTGTTGTTATCTTGTAAAGAATTTATTCAAATTAGGAAATGTGTTTCTATATTTTTATTAGTTCAATATGTCTTTGTACATAATTGTTACATATCAAACACATGTTTGACAGTTAAGAAACTGTCATAAATAAATTTGAAATTTCATTAATGGCCGTTGATTTTGAGATGTAATTCGATGGAAAAGTAAGTGATAGAAAAATAATTAGTAAAGATTCAGAATATGGACATCTTTGAAGATTTTAATCTCTTTAACATTCCTGGAACATTCTTGTATCTTCTAGAAACAGTACAAGCAGCAAGCATTGAAACCTAGTTTGTTGAGACTTAGGTGTATCTTATAATATTTTGTTATCATGGTGTCTCTATTCCATTATATAGAATGGCCTAATGTGATTGGACAATATTTGTTCACACATTTGACAAGTTTTAGGTTTTATTATTTTGTTATCACTGGTTGATGAACTTGAGCCTGATGGAACAGTAGTTGTCTGTGAACAATTTGTCTTCTTTGGGTGGCATTTCGAAGTTGGTGTGATGAACAAGGGGGATGGATATATGGCTATATAACTTATTCATTACAATATATGTGATGTTTCAGTGTAGAAGCTAATGCTGTTATCAAGCAAGTGAATTGTTGCGTATATTGTTATAAAGAAGTTGTATATCCATAGAACTATCCCCCTTGTGGTGAACAATGCTGTTTAAAAATATTCTGAAACAGGTTTGTAAAAAGTGAAAAAAAAATTGCCTTTTTTTTTGTTGTAAAAGCCGTCTCTATGAATATTAACATGATTAAATTCGACTTGTGTGCTGTGTTATTTATATAAACTATAACTTTTGATTGTTTGTGAGGATTCAGAAGAGTTTGTTCAGTCCAAGCCTACATCATTTCCAAGTTGCCTGCAGGATTGCAGAAAGGTAGTCTGTTGTCAGTATTTATATATTTTGAATAAATTTCACAACCTTGATCAGTCATGGTTGACTGGCCATCTTTTTGTAATGATTGGCTGAAGACTAAGGTACTCGTCTGAATAGTCAAGGGAATAAATGTGTTACACTGTACACAGTGCCATTCTGTGAGTTCAGCATTGTCCACATGTTGGGAAAGGCTACCGAATGAATAGGTTGGACAGAATCTTGTTAGATTGTGTGTCATTATATCCCAACAGCATTGCTTATATCAATTGTTTTTTTCTGGCACATATTTTATTGTTTCGGTAATTGCTTCCAGTGTGTAACAACAAACTTTGCAAATTTATGTAAAATATCTTGTCATTTATTAATTAATCTTCGTAAAGGTGTTTCCGTTTGTTTTATGTGTAACAGATTCAACACTTCTAGGATCCAACTGATAATTCTGAATTATTACTTTTTGTAATACCCTTACATTTCTTTTTATTACAAACCCATCCATCCATGGTTTGCCATGGAACAACAGGACATAACCCCATAAAGTCGGAGTAAATCATGCACACATATGATACTAGACTTAATGCAATAGATTTACTTGATTTTAATATCTTTGGAAAAGTCAAGGACGTTTCTGTTATTGCTCTCTCAATGTAAGTATTCTTTAGATAAAAGACATTTTATGAGTGTTTCTTTCATTTGTTTTCCTTATCCTGACTCATGCTCTTTGCTTGTCTTCTTCTTCTTGCTAACATAGTGGAACACTTGTATCTCCTTATTTGAAGCCCTTCAAAATAAAATCACTAATTGGTACTCACCACGAAGTTGCTCCCTTTGTCTCCCCTGGCGGGAAAAAGGTGTCGCCACCCCTCTGGCCATGTGCTTCACTCTCCTTCTTCACCAGTGAGCAGGATGTGAGAGCCGCCTTTGTGTCTCCTTACACACATATCCTTTGATAATCTCTTAGTTTTACCTCTCATAGGTTACTATAGAGGTATAGCTAGTATCCTTTACTATTTGTATTGATTAATTATCGATTTCTACTGTTTATTCACGTGTATTCGCGGATTGTTCAGCTAGCTTTACGCTCATGAAAATCTGTAACGATTTGTAGATTACGCTTTTTCTGCCTCCGATCCACATGTAATATGCCCTAGTTGTTCTACTGCAGCGCTTAATTCACGCTGCAGTTACTGCATTAATTTATCTCATTCTGCATTTAATAAATATCATCTTTATGCCTTTAAGACGGCTGCAGATAGATCACGCAAACAAGGGCAAAACATGGCAGAGAGTCCAGATATTCCTTCCAGTCAGCTGCTAGCGATCGACCCTCTCCGCCTGGTGTTCTGCTAGAGACCCCGCGCAGAGGAACGTGGGACGCAGTCCGTTACTCAAGAAACGACCGCCTCCCCAGACATCCCGGCCATTGCAGACTAAGTCTAAGAGGGGCCTCATCGCCGCCTCAACGCAGATTGAGGACACCCAGGGCAGCGCAGACTTCCAAAGGGAAATTCCACGAAGACAGCAAGAACTTTCAGCCGAGATCGCTCCAGCAGCAGAGTTGGGCCTCTACGATGATCAGCCGATAATCATCCCCGACTTACGGCAGAAGAAGCGACCGTGTCAGCGACTGTGACTTCTGCAGAGATCTCCATGCAGCCTGATGCCTTCTACACCGACGCCAGACGCCATTGATGTGAACCCCATCGCAGAAAAGACGCCGATTTACTTCGCCACAGATCATCCCAGAAGACATGATGCGCAGATTATGAACATCATGGAGGACCACTACAAACCGCGCGCAAGCAGGGTCCGAGTTTCGCGAAGGCTCCAACGTAGACAGCACCCCAGAGGCACCCCCGCCAACGAAAGCAGCCAAGACGATGTCACCTTCGCTAAGGAAGTCCCGCACCACCTTGACGAAGGACCTAGATGTACAGCTCTTCGGCCTTCGCTAAGGCGGAGAGATCATCACCATCTTCGATTTCATCTCTAGATATGGACTCAGACCATCAGACATCACGGAAGCCTTCGCGAAGGTCATATCATCGATCCCCTCGACCGACGAAATGAAGCTTCGCTAAGGCATTCGCTGGAAAAGACATATGATTCCAGATCTTCATCGCCTAGAAGAACATCGAGGGACTGCCAAGAGCTTCGCTGGGCTATCAACATTCACCTCACAAGTCTCCGAAGATCATCCCATAGACGATCTCCACCCGCTCATCACCAGGTCGATCACCCATCAGATCTCCACATAGAGCGCGACAAGTCAACTAGATCGCCACAAACCTCATCAGATATACAGACAGCTACACGCAGTCCCCAAGAGCATCTACAATTTATTAATGATGATGGTTTTGAGGATGATGGAGGAATCATATTTTCTGATGCAGAGATACGGTATTGATGGTCAATAACCTAGATCTCACATCACCATCTAAAAGTGGCAATACAGCTCAGACGATTTGATGAAGGAAGATGATCCAGATGCAATCACTCTACCCCCGACGACCCGACATGCAGTGCCACAGAATCTAGATGCAGCTTTCCAGAAAGCTACTTAAAGTTCAGATACCACATCTACCCAACTTTCAAGCCAAGAAGTTCTCCACGATAACATGGACTCCTTCTACAAGGCCCAGGACATC